TGTGTGTGTGTGTGTGTGTGTGTGTGTGTGTGTGTGTGTGTGTAGGAGTTTGAGGTGGAGGACAGTGAAAGTCTGTGTGAATGTCTGAAGAGTTTAGCCACTGACAGCACCAAACACAGAGCAAAAAACGACAGAAGGAAACAGCGCTCCATCTTCAGGGAGGTGCTACATTACATAGAGGTGTGTGACGTTTAATGACACTTCAGAAGATGTAATTAATGTTTGTATGAGGTTGTGTTAAAGGCTAATTAAAGAATATTTACTTGAGTTTTCTGTAGCATCTCTTCTGTCTCTTTTGTTTAATAATTATATGTTTGTTTTTTTCCCTGCAGAGTGAAGATTTCGCTGAGGAGAAAATCCAGTTTGGACTGGAGAATGTTTACATTGACAGCTGGATGAGGAGGAGAATCTATGATGCCTTCAAGGAGATCCTAGAATCTGGAGTCAGACACCATCTACAGGTGAGGCGAATATAAGATCTTTGCCTTTCTTCCAAAGCAGACCAGTCGACACGTGGTTGTTCGACATTCGTTTTCTGTATCCCCTGAGACAGCAACCGAGGTGATCCGTCTCATCTGACTGTCTTAGTTAATGTCTGCTTCTGTGCACAAAGCAAGTAGTTGAAGCAAAGTGCAGCGTCAGAGCACTTTCTGTATAAACCAACATCCCCACAAACTTCTAGACAATCACACAATAACAATGAGTTTTTATTAGTAAAGATGTTTTTCCCTGTTTTGTATCTATTTTGTTGTTCTCAGTGGGTCTATGTTGGATGAATTAGCAGGAAACAAAACTCAGTTTGTCGTCGCTTTGTGTAACGTTTCCGTCTTTGTTTGTTAAAGCATAACCCACTACTGCGAGACATCTTTGGCCTTGGACCCCCCCTCATATTGGACGCTACTGTCAAAGCCAACAAGATCTCACGATTTGAGAAGGTGAGCAGATCGTCTTCTGGCTTTAAGGAGAAATATTCTGACATTTGTTCACATTTTAAAGCTTTTTTTTAACTTGTTTGCTGTGTGATAACAGCCTGACGGCAACCTTTTCTCTCTTTTATTTCAAACAGCATCTTTTCAACTCAGCTGCCTTCAAAGCCAGAACTAAACAGAGGAACAAAGTCAGGGACAAACGAGCCGACGTCATGTAAGGGAGAGATGAAGGTGGAGTGAAAAACGTAGGCGAGGAACTCCAGAAGCTGCTCTGATTTGGACACATGGTGCCTTCAGCTCTTCACCTGTCAGACACAAAAACTCAAACAGGGTTGTTTTTTCTCTCAAAATGCCAGATTTAAGATCAGTGAATGTTCTTTAGGATTCCTTGTTCATTCCATCGGCAGTCCTCCATTTTCAGGCCTGAACAGGCTTCTCCAGCTGCCAAATCTGTTCAGATTTTACAACCAATGCAACCTTAAGGAGAAGTGTGTGGTGTTTGTGTTTGAGTGTGTTTTTACATTGGATTAACCATGAAAGGAAACTTTAACAAGAAGATACCTAATTAAAACAATGAAATCAAAGAGTTAAGATTGTCTTCTCTGTTTCGATGTTTTTGGAAAGATTTCTTTTGTTTTAACGCTGATAAGTAATTGTATTTTATTTTAATTTATTGAGACAACTATAATACATCTTTAAAAAAACTGTTTACAAACACAATTATGGGTAAAACTGAGATTTTTTTCCCCCTTTGTGTATTTTTAATGCAGGTTGGAGAGAGAGTTGTCTGAATTTTTCTGTCTGTATTTTAGATAATCTGACATGACATTATGGAGATTCATGAGGTTTAGATAATTTATTCCTGTAAGAAGAATAAAATATAAACTGGCCACTAATCAGAGCTGCAGATGACGTGTTTGGTGATGCAGATTTTACTGGTAACGTTAACATTTCAACTTTATCATACTGTTTCAGTCTTATTTCATAAGCAAACTTAGGAAACACCATGACCTTTGAATAATGTAATTAAAAGCTGGATCACCGACACGTGTCACCAATCTGTCTTATCTGTATATCTTGTGCTGTGGGAGAAACAGACAAAGGGTGGATTGAATTAAATAAATACTTAAACACACTTGTTTTCATTTATTTTAAACAGGTTATTCTGAGAGAAGTTTCTGATCTGGGAAGATATGTAATCAGATATTGTGAATAATGTTTTACAGACACATTGTGAAATCAGCTTTTTATTTTGATAAATATGTTGTGGTTCAACAAAACAAACAACTAATATACTGATAAGTCATTTCATAATTTGAAACAAATCTGAGGATAATACATGAAAAACAGAAAATTATGTTTTGGTTTTATCGTTTATTTTTAAGATGAATCTGCATCATATTAACTGAATCTGAAAAACTCATGTTTCAGCATGTAAGATGCCAAATTGCTGCATTAAATTTCTTTTGAGAAATGATTCCTAACATTTATTTAAACAGTAATGAGTTTGAGTAACTACAGTAATTGGCAGAATATTGCTACAAGACATGTTTAATTTACAGTGTGATTCTGCCCCATGCCCTCCTTTTATATTACACTAATGAAGACAACAGATACTTCAATTTATTTAATTTACTCCCCACCCAATAAATAAATAAAATAAATAATACAGTAGTCTCGGGGTATCGAACAGAAAAACAACTTTTTGACAGGTTCAGATTTAAATGTTCTCTGCTGCCCTCTGGTGTATATTTTTGTCCACTGCACCCCCATAAACTGACCACAGTGGGATCGTCCACTCATGAGGGAAACATGGCGGCGCTGCTTCAACAAAAGTCTTAAAGCTGCTGAAGTACGTTTCAAAGTGAGGTTATGTAAATTGCCGAAGTGATTTGAATAAATTAGTGAACTGAAATAGAGTCTGTCGGCAGGTGCTCCTGAGACTAACGGTGTGATTTGCTGTGTTGTATTTGTCTGTGCTGATAGTTGACTTGAGCTAAGCTAACTCGGACCCGGATGGACGCGGAACAAATCACGGGGGTGTTCGGGCAGCTCTGCAGCCTCTCCACGCCTGTTTCAGCTCATGTGAGTGAGGAGCAGCTGCCGGAGGTCCGAGTCTTTAAAGTGACTGCAGGTAAGATGACTGTTGCTTTGTAACTCTAATAGTTTCATTAACATCACACACAATTACAGCCAAGAGTATTTGTTATATGAAAGGAAGTTAATGAAAAAATACAGACATTCCATTAAAATTAGTGCTGAAATAACATGTTTTATATCTATATCAAACAGGAAAGTACACAGATGCAGCAGTGGGTTTTTCTTTGCAGTATTTAATGTTTTGTAACTCATCCATATATTTTATAGTTGTAGCAGATAACACATATTTCAGTGTCATTTCAAAATAATGCATTTTATATTATCAATTCTAAAATATCCTGATGCATCTCAGTAATCCAGGTAAAAAATCAAAAAGAAAAAAAATTGTGTAGGTCTTCTGGACGGGTTCTTCTCTAATGAAACGTTTCGTCTCTCCTCCAAGAGACTTCTTCAGTCTGAGAGTTTCAGGCAAAATTCAGGCTTTTGAGTCCTGCCTCCATGTGACTGATACTCACATCACATGGCTATCGTTGACACCTAATTAACACCTATTGTTAACAGGGGGTGGAGTGATACTGGCAATAGCTGCACTGTAGGAGGGGGACAACTGAAAACGGAGGCCTCCACCTCTGTTTAATGATGGACGGTCTTTCTTCACAAAAATGTCTTCTTTTACTCCTCTCTCAAACCAATGTTCCTCTCTATCAAGAATGAGAACATCCTCATCTCTGAAAGAGTGACCGCTGGCCTGTAAATGAGTGAAAACTGCAGAGTTCTGGCCATTAGATGTAGCTCGTCTGTGTTGGGACATTCTTTTGAACAGTGGCTGCTTTGTTTCCCCGATGTATAACTGGTCGCAGTCCTCCTGGCACTTAACAGCATATACAACATTGCTCTGTTTGTGCCGGGGCACCGGATCTTTGGGGTGAACCAGCCTTTGCCGTAATGTGTTTTGGGGTTTGAAAGCTACTGGGACATCATGTTTAGAAAATAAACATCTCAGTTTCTCCGAAACACCCGCAGCATAGGGAATAACCACTGGTTTGGGTCTGGGTTTGGGGTCTTCATTTTCACCTGAAGGTTGCATGGAGTCCTGTCTGTGTTTCCTGTCTGCTTTCAGGAAAGCCCAGTCGGGATAACCACACTGCTTCTAAAATAAGATATTTTAGTTTGCGTTCTTTGCAGTTACGTTTAAGGTATGATTTAATAAAAATTTATTTGAGACATATTGGGAAAAAATAAAATAAAATCTTGTTCATAATCCCAGAATCTGCTAAATCGATCTACCATTTATCTGTTGGTTATCTTTATGCTGACTGCAAAAAGGAAAAACAGCACAGGGATTTTGGTTTAAAGATTGCTGGAGACATTCTCATAAGAAAAAAACAACATGTTAATCTGATTATGTGAACTCAGGTCAAGGGTTTAAAAAGTTTTATGTTTAAACCCATTTGTTTCTTGTAGCCTTGCCTAAAGCGTTACTGGATAATTTAAACAGGATTGTGAGTTCAGGAAGAGATGGGAAATATTGAGGATGTTTAAGTTTATGTTGTCCATGTGCTGGAGTTTTTCTTTTATATTTCATCAGATTTAACAAACATGTTTTAATGAAATTATTTTAGTATTCTAATGTATTTTTCAAGCTGTATAATGAGAGCGTTTTTTTTTTTTTTTTTGAACTTGGAGTCTATAATGAATGAATGTAGGGCTGGATGATATGGCCCCAAAAAAAATCTCTGATTTTTTTCATCCCAATTTTGACTTTAATCGATTTGTTTCCCACTTAATGGAATGCCTCTGTTTCAGGTGTCAAAACAAATTTGTTGCACTCCTGCTTTTTGTAGCAAGAGCCTTCAAACACATTTTGCAGTGAGGTGTTCATTGCTCCAAGTATGAGGTTGCAAAACCTAACCAGTTCCAGAAAACAGAAGAAACGGTGCCTTTTTTGAAAAGTAGATCCTTGAGGGACAGGTGGGGTGACCTCTGAACTTCAGAAGCCCCAAAGAGTGCACTGGTGGGGGAAAAAAATCTTGATTTTCCTAAAATTAAATCTTTATAAATGGCAAATTCGAATTAATTATTAAATCGATTTATCGCCCAGCCCTAAATGAATGAATAAATGAGATCATTTCATCTAACTTGTAAACATTTCTCTCCTTCCACATCCAGAGTGGAGTCAGAATGATCTGGTTCGAGGTTCCAGACTTCAGTACTCGCAGCAGTGGACTCTGATTGCTGACAGCAACAACCACAAGAACATCAGGACCGTCTTCCCATCCGGACCATGTGCTCCTGTGTCTGGGGAGTGAGTTATTCCTTATTTATTTTATCACACTAAAAAAAATGCAGGATTTTATTATATTTTTGAGCAAACAGAAGCTACGTCTCACCACATTTCTGCAACAATTCAGGTTTTTCTTTCTGCTCTTCAGGTTATTGAGTGAACTGTCACCCATTCAGGGCCTGAGGGCTGTTATCAGGGAGGCTGGCAGCCACCAGCTACTGGAGGTACGACAGATTAACCACATCACTCAGATTAACGTCATGATTTAAACCCTGTTCTTGTTCAGATATGGGACAGCCACGGCCTCAGAAAAGGCCTCAACCTGTCGGCCCTCAGCCTGCATGGCAAAGTGTACGATGATGGTAAGAAAAGGAGCCGAGCGTCAGAGATACGTTACATAAACACGATGTATGACCGCCTCATGGTGAGGGGTTTTTATGCCTGTCTGTGTTTTCAGCTCAGTTTGGTTGCCTGTCGTGGTCGGAGTGTGAGAAGAAACTACTGTATGTCGCAGAGAAGAAGAAGAAGAACTCTGCAGCAGAGAGAGTTTGTGAGGAGCCTGCATGCAGGAAGGTACTGTATTAAACGTTCACACAAACCCCCAATTTACACTACTTGCGTTCCGTCTCTGCTCCACTCCGGTCCGACCTCCGCAGCAAATACACACCCATTATAATCAATAAAAGTGTTTACACTGGCTGCGCAGGGCGGCGGTGAGCGGACGGCGATCTGTCAAAATTAAATTCAATCCTATTTTTGACGGATTCCGGAGCAGCGTTGAAGTCAATTTTTAAAGATTACGTCGCACCAACAGGAAAATAAACGAGCACAACATCCGTATTTTCAAAATAAGACACTATTAGGCGGAATAATTTGTCGGAATAATGTCAAAATTGCCGCTATATTAATAAATATACGGATATATTTCTACACAAATGCTGTCAGAATGTATCGTTCTGTTTGGGAAGCAGATGGAAACGTAGCGTGAAGCATGTGTACACACACGACACACGTGGATTTTATTTTGAAATCAGAAGTTTCAGAAAGTCGACAGCGAGACAGTTTCAACAAATCAAAAGCCTTTATATTGTTGTTTTCAGCTGTGTTTGGAGTTCGTCTTTCACAGAATTAATTATTTTTTGCTGTGACTTCCACACTTATCACTGAATTTATCGCACAATCTCCTTCCTGCACGTCTGTCGGACCGGAGCAGGGCGGAGGTAGTGTAAACTGTACTTGAAACGCACAGCTGCGACCTGCGCAGCGCAGCGGAAACGCATGTACTGTAAATTAGGGGTAACTCGTGCACAAACACATTAACATCAGGTGATAAAGCACATTGTTTGAACAGGACCGGAGCGTTTACTGTGAGGACTGGGGGGAGGCTCTGACCAGTAAGAGCATCCCAGTGATCTGTGTGGTGGATTTACAGAGCGGGGATGTCAGAGCGTTGCAGGGCGTCCCAGCTGATGTCTCACCAGGACAGGTAAAGGCCATGAACCAAACAAAGCTTTGCTAAAAGCTCAAAACTTTCTTTTTATTATTACTATTATTTGGAGTCAACATTGTGTCTTTTTGGTTTATTCTATTATTTTTTTCCCCTTCCAGGCTCTGTGGGCTCCAGACAGTCAATCCATATTTTTTGTTGGTTGGTACCACGAGCCCTTCAGACTCGGACTGAAGTTCTGCTCCAATCGCAGGTTACTATCATAAAGTACTTTTTGTCACGTAACCTGACAAAAGTGTGAAAAATGGAAACTTAAGCTGCAAAAAATAAACCTGAAATGCATACTAACAGGAAAAGGACAGTTTAAATATTATTTTATATATTTTTTATTATTCACGAATAATAAATAATGCATATTTTATGCTGGAATCTATTCTATTTTGAATGGAAAGTAGCACCAAAAATGATGGTTATTGGAGTGTTTTTTTTTTTACCAAAAATGTAAGGTTTTATGTTCCAAGCTGTTACATTAAATGTTGTTTGACTCATAAATTGGATTATTTACTTTGTAATTAACTTCCCTTTGGAAATTCCTTCTTGTTTTTTTTTTCTAGGTCAGCTTTGTTCAGACTTGAGCTGAATGGACACTGTGGTGAGAGCATTACTTTCACCTTTCTGTTAACGTATTAAACTTGACACATTCGACCCACGCTCTGAACAAACTCCTCCCTCCATCAGAGCGTCTGTCAGGAGACAACCTGTCAGTGTCCTGTCCCAGGTTGAGTCCAGACGGGTCGGTGTTGATCTATCTGCAGGGTAAAGTGTTTGGTCCCCACAACCAGTGCCTCTGTTTACAGCAGGTACGGTGAGTGTGTGTATGTGAGTGGTTCTGTTCGTGTTTATGTGTGGTCCGTCTGTTAACAGTCGACTGTTAATCATCCACAGCTGGACCTGAAGAGCAGGAACACCTCCACATTGGTGGATGTTGTCAACAGACCTCAGACTGGTACATTAGTTTTTGTCCACAGCTTTCATTAAGGACTGTTACATTTTAATGGAGGGGGCGGGGATTATTCAACATTGACTTTTTTTGAGCTTAGATCAAGTTTTAATGTCATTCCCTTATCAAAAACATGCTCAAAGTGTTGCTTTGACTCATTCATGCATGTTTGAGAAATCCTTGAATCTCCTATTGTAGCCAGAGGTTTATAGTAACTAAGTACATTTACTTAGTTACAGTACTTAAAGGCACAGTATGTAGGATTTGTTGTTTTCAGCGACATCTAGTGGTTGAGTGGTTGAATCATCCTCCCTGGTCC